CAGTGTGGTCTGAGCTATTGAAACGCTTGCCAGAACAGCTCGGTCTTTACCGCTCTACGGAATTGGTAAAGATCTCGCAGAGCTCAGATTTCGTTTGGGAGCTGATTCCATAGTACTGGTGCAGCTACGGAAAACGCCCTAGTTCTTGTTGATGTTAACTTAGCGTCCCTAGGGCCAGGGGGGACCAAGCAATTTTGCGAGTCAGATCTCAGTGCCCTTGCAGAATTTTTTGCGGACTGGAAGGATTTTAAGGACTTAGAGAAGTATTGGGATGTGAAGAACAATCTGATTTGCTTTGAAAACTATTAAATCGATTTAAAAGAGAAAGGAAATGGACTAATAATGATAAGAATGTAAACATTAGTTATCTAGAGTTATATGATTGAAAATTAGAAACGTGAGAATTTATGATTTGAGCTGGTGGTGGAAACACTGTTGGAAGCCTATGAAAGGGGGGGAAGTAAGAAGAAAAGGATATATATTGAAGTCGATATATATGAAATGTGTAGTATCCTAATAAAAGTTGTTTAAAAAAAAAAAAAGATCTCAGTGCCCTTGGGGGAACGTACGGGGAAAGGCGGTCCCTCAGGTAGACAGGACCCAGATGCAGAATATGACTTTGTGAATTTTAAAAAAGGCCTGATGACTGAAAATGCTTCACAAGGGATGGAGCCCTAAGAGCACTTGAGCATCAGTTAAAGGGAAACCAGGCTGTTCAAAAAGTCCCAAAGAGCTTAAAAGAATCTAAGAGAGTATCTGGGATGGGGATGTCCAACTGTTCCCTCACAATTCCTCACAGGCTCCATCTTCTAAGCCCTGAATGAGAGAATCAAGTCCCAAGATTCTGAAAAGGATTAGGGATCCCATGAAGAACACAAACAATTTTCTTGGAGCTATCTGAAGGACCTGAGGAGTCTCAATTCAGTATATTGCAAGCCCACCTATTAATCTCAAAAGCCAGACTGAAAGATCCAAGAGATATTCTACTAGGCCATTTCCATCTAGGCAGAAATAATGCATCTAGAATCATATGAAAGAAATTATTAGAATGGAAATAAAATGAGACAGAAAATGAACTGGCAGACAGAAAGACAGGCCTAGTTAAAGAGTGCAAAGCAAACCTCTGCAGTACTGAGATGTAAGCATAAGAAAATACCATTCATGTGGTACATTCATAGCTCTGAATTTGGCACCATTGCATTCTTCTCATAATCAAAGAATATTCCAATTACACTTTAGCATGTTCATGCTATTCTAGCAAGTCCCTGTTCTGTTAACAGCACAAAAACTCTTCTGTACAGGAAAGCAAGGACTGTGCTGTTTCTCCCTTTATCCCCTTATGAAAAGAAATCTGGCTGGGTATGTGCTCCAGGGGGAGTGCACACTCACCAAAGTACACAAAATGGTAGATCATCGCTGTAATAATGGGTTGCTTTATTTGAGAAAGATTAATGCTGTTCTAGTGCAGAAAAGTACCTGTCTCCAAAGGTATTTTTAAACTAAAAAGAAAAGGTAGTGTTCAATTTTTTGTTGGCTCAAGATGGACAGTCAGCAGAACAAGAAGAAAGAAAATGTATTTTGACAATTTTCACACCAGATGTTTAATGTTCAGTGGAAATGCCTCCATAACGATGTGTACTGGGTAGAAAATGTTTTGTTGAATAAAAGTCAGCATTAATAACTGAAGTTGAGAGGAACAGCATTAGATAAATTTTGATCCACACTTAAGATTTCAACTAACAAACACCCATACACTTGACTTGTTCGTAACTATTTAGGCCCACATTTCCAGTGTTTGACTCCAACTGTAAGAGGACAAAGATTTTTCCCAGTGTCTTCTTGTCTATATGAAACATCACTCTAAAATAGCATTTCTTTGGTAACATAAGGAGACTGGACGCTGAATCCAAAGGATCTCCAGTGGAGAGCTGTTTATAGATGGCATGGGCATTATTCATTTGGTTGACTGCTGAAAGATACTGCAAAGAGATGCTGTTGCTGGATAAGGGAAGCATTCTGCCGAATGGAAGGAGTACAGAGAATCTGTGATCATCATCATTCTGGTGCCCTTATGCTCCTCTTTCCCCACGCACAAAATATTTGATGTTTAAATATGTGACGCTTGATACCTTCATAAAGTGTGCTAAATATTATTGTTACTTCAGAATAAGCAGTCAGCCCCAAGGACACACTCTCTATAAGAATGCTGAAATAATTACTTACCATTATTTGGTTATAGTGGGTAACAGTTACTTTTCTTCTGTTTTGTGAAAAGATGACATCTCCCAGACAGAGCTAGAGATATCTCGGTTTCTAAGCATGCTAAACTAATCCAGACCCTGAGGAATAGGTTTCTAATCAGTGGATAGGGATTGGATTTGCATTTATATCACCTGTTACCAAGTTGAAATCACTGGTGCCGAAACACTTTTGCTGAAACAACTGCCATTCATGAGAAAATAAGATGCAACAAGAATAACTGTGTATATGCTTCTGTATTCTCCTAGAATGAGCCAGAAACACAACCTTCCCCTTCCTTTCACAAGCAGCTTTTTAAGTTTACAACATGTAATTTTTCATTTCCATTCAAATGATGCAAGTGTATTTGAGAAGCATGACGCTCTGGATCCCCACTCTGCATTGCTGACACAAACTTTTCAATACTCACAGCATCCACCAGGGGGATCATAACTTATCTGGAACACCAGAAGCCCCAGAAACAAGACAGGTAGATCTGTGCCTTTGTGAAACTTGCTTAGGGAAGACGTTTACACTGGAAGGTAATCACATGGCTTCCAGCCCCACATTCATCTTTGTACACTGAGGGGCAAGGGAGAACTTTAGCCTTCCCCCTGCTCACTATTTCTCTCCTCCCACAGCCCTTCCTCAGGCTCCTTTCACCCAGCCAGCTTCAAAAATCAAAAATAAATCCTGATGGGGCATGGAGAATTCAATATTTCAGAAGTGTTAAGCACACAAACATCTTCTGTCCCCATTCCTATTAAAACTGTACGCAGGTGCACCCTGTAGTTCTAGTCTTACTTTGTTATAAATGAGTCCTTTTAAAAAAGCTTAAAAGGTCTCCATTTGACTGAGTTGCCAACATTGTAATATCTATTATGAAGAAATCAAAATATAAAATAATCACAGCACCCACTCTTTAAATATAGTGCCACAATGCAGCCCAGGCTTTGTCCTATTTATTTTAATCATAGAAATTTAAGAATGTACTTAACTCGCCCATTGAAATCAACGGAATTTGCTCATCTAACTTTACACGGCATTGCAACCTTAGAACTGCTCGAATTTGTCTTGAGAACATCCACTCCCTCTGCCAATTTAACCTCAAATGCATTCAAGGGCAAGCCATGATTGGATTTTGTTGAATCTTTCTGTCACAATCAACACTGGTTACAAAAAAACCACACAACCCCCCTAAAGTACCTGCTCCTTAGTCTGTAATGTACAGAAGGTGTGTTGGCTCTGAAAACAAGAAACATTTATGAAGGGGAAGGCAGTTTATATGAACACTGCACTGGGCTCAAACTGACAGCAGCAAAGTATTCCTGAGTTGTTATTTTCCTCACCAGTCTGAAACCTTCATGATTTTGTCACATTTGACTCATGACACCACCCAAATAAAAGGCATCTCTGAGACTCTGACAATGATCCTCTCTGAAGCCAAAGCATGGTGCTGCAAAAGTTCAGTCCCAGAGAGCCAGCATGGCAGAGTGGTTACAGCATCTACCCAGGATCCAAGAGCTGCATATCTGAACCCACATTCGACCATGGAAGCTCACTAGGTGACTTTGGGCCAATCACTCCTTCTCAGCTTAGCCTACTTTATAGGCATGTTGCTGTGAGAACAAAATGGAGGAAAGAATGAAGTTCTGGATCTCCATCAGTGAGAAAAGCAGATTACAAATATCTAAATAAATTTCACACAGAACCAGGCCTCGAGCCAACATGGGGCCCACAGGGCCCAGCCTCCTAGCGTTTCTTTGGGGCCCCCTCCCTCCCGGGCTGGCCCCAAATTGAATTAATGTAATTAACTTTGATTTAATTAGCTGCACCCTCCCCAGCTCCCCGCCCCCAAAAGTCCCTAGCTATGGGGCTGCACAGAACTCTCACCAATTTCAGCTAACTTTAGACTAAAGTTAACTGAAACGGGTGTGAAAGTCTTTAGTCTTTAAGGGGCCGCAAGACTTCTCTTCTTGGTTTTGCTGCAACCGACACATCCATCCCGCTGGATATGGCAATAATAATCAACGCAGGACCACTGGGGCATCCTTCCTTTCTGTGATGTACGAACACAGCTTTTGTCTCTTCTCGCAAACTCGGCGCCCCGGCATTCACGCGTCCAAATCTTGCATGGGGAACGTGCCGTCTAGTCGCCGCAGACTCACGGCGACCCCGTTCCCTTAGGCGTTCCAGGAGGGAGACGAGTAGAGGTGGTTTGCCATTGCCTTCCTCCGCGTAACAGCCCCGGACTTCCTCGGTCGTCTCCCATCCAAGGACTGACGTCTTGGGGACTGAGACCCATTAACGCCAGTTTAGGCTTGTTGTTATCTTCCACGCGCCCTCCTTCAAAACAATCTCGCAGGCAGTCTCGACCTTCGATGCTTGGGTAGTCTGTGCTACATACTGCCGCTTCTCTGCTGCTAGTCCTGCTGCTTTAGGAGGAGGAGTCCTTGGCTGCGCCTGCAACGCCCTGCCCAGCACTACGTAACACTGGAGCCTGCGGGGACCACATCCTCGCCGCTCCTCAGCCACTAACTTGGCTCCGATGCTCCTCCCCACCTCGCCTGAATGCCTGAAAAGCTCCGTCTCCCAGATTCCCCTCTTGTCCCCCCAGTTTCCGGCAGATGCCGTCACCCTGTGCAGGCTGGGATTCGTAGTCATTTCCCCACTTGATGTCCTCACTATGAGGGAGGCTTCAGACTCTGTTTTCCAGCATGCGTCAGGAAACGGCTCTTAGCAGCGACGCAGGCGCAGTCCCGCTGTTTGTTTGCGTCTGTGGAGGCCGTGAAGACCCGGCCGGTGGGAAGCCGCAGGAGCTCCTGCCTACTGGCAGAGGGGAGGGCGTCGGCCTTGGCAGAGCGGCCGGGATCGGGGAGGAGGAAGAAGGCTCGGCTTCCGGCGGAGAGACCAGCCCGTGGAGGAGGCTCTCCCTGAAGGCCTTCCGCCCCCGCCGCACAGCTGAATGGGGTTGCGAGGAGCTGAGCAGCTGCGTTCACTCTTGGAAACCAGCCACCCGTTTGCCTCGTCGCCTCTTGGCCTCTGAGACTCTCGCCTCGTTCCAGCCCCCTGGAAGCCGCTTGTGGTGCCGGTGCTGCGTCAGACAACCTTAGGGCGAGAGGGTCGAAGCAGTGGTACTGGAGAGGGACCCAGTGCCCGGGGGCGACTGATGCTTTCCACCTGGAGGCAGGCAGGGTAAAGGGGCAGTCTCAGTGCCAGTATCCAGCCGCCGCCGCCGCCTCTCTTTGGTCGCTATGCGGAAGAAGATGATAGAGCTGGCGGTGATTCCGCACTGAGAAGAGGAAGGGGGTCCCTGGCTACTAGAGCCTCTTCCCGTCTGCCCCTAAGCCAAGTCTCGTGGATCAAGGGTCCTGTTTTTGGGGGGTATGAACATGAACAGATACCTTCCAGTAGCCCGGCAACATTTCCTGGCTGTACTGGCCAGTACCAGTGTAGTAGTGAAGTCTATATGTGCCATTGTAATCCTGCTCTACCTTCTTTCCTTTGCTGTGGACACAGCTTTTGGACTTGGGGTGACACCAGGTTATCTCTTCCCACCCAACTTCTGGATTTGGACGTTGGCAACTCACAGTGTGGTGGAAAACCATATCTGGAATGTAGGCGTGAGTCTGGCCACAGTGGTGATAGCAGGAAGGTTGCTTGAGCCGCTGTGGGGAGCCCTGGAGCTTTTGATCTTCTTTGCTGTGGTGAATGTGTCGGTTGGGCTCCTGGGGGCCTTTGCTTATCTTCTCACCTATGTGGCATCATTCAATCTCTCTTACCTATTTACTGTTCGAATCTATGGCATGCTAGGCTTCCTTGGAGGTGTCTTGGTGGCCCTCAAGCAGACCATGGGTGACAGTACGGTCTTGAAGGTACCTCAGGTGCGAATGAAGGTTGTCCCCATGCTCTTGCTCCTGGTTCTGGCAGTTCTGAGATTGACCACCCTCATTGAAAGCAACATATTGGCTTCTTACGGTTTTGGAGTGCTTTCCAGTTGGATATATCTCCGTTTTTACCAGAGGCACAGCAGAGGACGAGGTGACATGTCAGACCACTTTGCATTTGCCACATTCTTCCCTGAGATCCTGCAGCCTGTCGTTGGCTTGGTGGCTAACCTTGTGCACAGTATCTTGGTGAAAGTGAAAGTCTGTCGAAAAACAGTGAAACGTTATGATGTTGGTGCCCCTTCATCCATCACTATCAGCTTGCCTGGAACAGATCCGCAGGATGCTGAACGGAGAAGGTAAATTTCCTGAAATGCAGAACTAACTGTATGATATGAGTGCTCGGAGATGATGTAAAGGGTAGAATTCAACCTAATTCCATAACAACTTATCATAAGTCATATTTTATCCCATAATAGAATTCTTATCTAAAAGAACTTGCCTTCAAGAGAACATTATACAAAAGGCTGAAGGTAATGGGCAGGCATCTTTCCTTTCCCACCAAGGAGCCCTTTCCAGAGTCAGGAAAGTTTATTTCTGGGATCACAGGATCCGCATTGGCTAATAACTGTGAGGATCTGGAGACAGCAGTGGGGAGAGGAAGGAAGACAAAATCACCATTCCTGTCTGCTGAGCTCCACTAATGAAGGCCCCTTCTGCTGCCTGACTGCAGTCCACTGCTTCACGTGGCTGTTAGTTCATGTGGGACCTGTATCTCTAGGAGTGAACTTTCTCAAGATATGAAAGGGCTGCTGTGGGAAGCAGGGCAGTTGTGCAGTCCTTGTGATGGATCTAATCCAATGTTTTCAAAATTGCTTTTTTCATATGTGCCCAGAGGGATGAATAAAGTAATGATGATCTGTTGTTTCCATCAGTTTTTGCCGTATGTTATGATCAATGGGTTTTTAATTTTTCTTGGGTACTATTGACAGATAAATTTATTGGACATGCATGGGACATATTGGCAAGGAGTTGCTGAAGCCATTCTCTGTCTTGGTGTTCTTTATTCACTCAATAGTGTTCACATATTTACACAACAAAACAGAATGGTTGTGCATTTTTAGGCGTCAGGCATGTACTTAGAATTGCCTTTTGAATTCTGTGATTTATTGACCATTACATATTGTGGTGTTTGTCCAAGGAACAGTTGTCAGAACACCTTCACATGTGCCAGTGCAAACAGACAGGAAACGTGTACCTGGTGGCCAAAGTTCTTGTATATTTGTGTCTCCCTTTCAAGGGTGTAATATATCAGCATGCTGTGGAAGTGCAGGGTCTATGGGTTATGGGTAAAAATACACATTATCTGATTAAGAACCAAAATTGTGAGTAGTTTCGTGTTTTGTGCTCAAAACATTTTAAATGGGACTCACTTCTGAACTTAGACTTGGATGCCATGGTAAATCTCTGCTGATTTCCATCAGCAGAACAGGACTTCCTTGACTCCTCCCTTCCACTGTTGCCCAAAATGTTTCCCTTAGGGGGCAGCAGACTGCCAAGAAGAGCACGATGTGGCAATCCAAGCTCTGCAGCAGGAGGTGGTATCAACCCAAATCCCACCCCTGCTTTAACAAATTTTCCACGGGATCCAGCTTTACTGTAGGTTTTGAGAACCTTTTGGAAAGTAATTTTGTATTTTTTTCTCCCTTCTCAATATAAAACATAGGAAGTTTCCATCAGTTAAAACTGAACAAGTTAATGTTTTATTTTTCACATTTAGTATTTATAAATATATAGCACTATGGAACAACCAGTTGTATTTCATGGCAGGGGCAAACTTAGCTCTATTGACTCACTTGTTGTTCCATATGGTTCCTGGCCTCAAAGACAACCTCCGAAAGAGTCATAGTCCATTTTTGGGTCTTTACCCATGTTGGAGACCTGCTGATGTATAGCATTCGTACTAAAAATACTAGACCCATCTAGGTGCTTGTTTAAGGAACACAAATTATTTTATTTGTCAGTTTGCCACTAAGCACTTAGAGCTGTTTGTGAAAACGTATGCTGTTAACTTCAACAGATCTTCTGCCATGCTTAAAGAAACAAAATTAGAATTGTTTTGGAAACATGTCAGATTGGGGTCCTTATCTTGGTCTTTGCCAATTGAGGTTTTCAAACTTGTTTCAATTTGAACACCAAATACCAGGTAATCCTTCATTTTTTTCCTAGTTATTTTAGTGACCAACACTAAGAATGTTTCTAAAAAGGTTTTTTAGTTCATGAACTGAATTTCTATTTCCCCCCACACTTTGAAGTTAAAAAAATTAAAAGCTAAAGATGCGTATCCATAGGCTACTGTCATATGTTTCAAAAATACAAGCCTTTCCATGCATTAGACCTGGTTGGTCCGGTTTGAGGATTAAATGAGTTGAATTTATGTAGAGCCCTTAGCTCTCTAAAGCTAGTAACAGCCGGAGCAACTACCACACCCATATATGTGCCTTCCACCCCAGGCAAGGCTCTAGGGGCAGTATATTGAAGGGAGACTTGCTTTAAATGAATATCAAACCTTGACAAGTTAAAAGCAAACTAGAGCAACTAACTACGAGCTTGACAAACCTGACAATCATCTTTCTTTACAGTTTGTGCTACGTGGGCACACTGCTCATAACAAGCTAGAGCAAACTGAAGGATTCATAGTGCAGCCCTATCCATAGTTACTCCAGTCTCCCATTGGTTTCAGGGAGCTTAAACTGGCCTCACTTTGCATAAGATTGCATTGTAGGTGAAATTATTGAGTAGGGAATATAACTCTGGGGCACTTTCTGCAGGTGAAACATTCAGCAACGTTCAGTCCTAAAGTATTTTTTGTAAGGTTGAGGGTTTTTTAAGCGTCCGCTAAAACATGTGTGCTAAGATCACACTCTTACTTCCTGTTACCCTTTTGTAGAAATATTCATATTCAGCCCAAACTTTTGTCCTTCAGTTTGCATATGCACATAGCTCTTGTGCAGCTAAGGACATGCGTAGTTGCCTCTGATTTTGGGATAGCATGCTTGTAAAAGAAACCCACGTTTCGTCAGGAATTACAGGTGCAAGTTGGAGTTTCAGTGGAATTTTTTGTTATTCTGTTTGGTCGCTTGTTTAAGGGGCTCCCAACTTTTTTCCATGAAGTGAAAGATTTCACGACTACATTTGTGCAAGTAAAGTACTATGCCATCTGATGCAGAGATTGAATTGATTTTATTATCGCAAAAGAGTCAAGATTAAGCAAAAGGTTATCTTTTTCTGACAATAATTGCAATGTGCTAGTTGCTCATTGAAATATCCAGATTGACCAGAGTATGCTTCTTTTTTAGTCAGTGCTGAAGGTGTTCATAAATCTCCCCTTAATTTCATTCGGGTTTGTTTCCAGGTAATAGTTCTGGGTGTGAACTGAGTTGAGAGTCATGTCACTCCCTGTCTTTTGGCATTTGGTTTGCTAGAAAGCCAGGAGTTGATGTTCCTGAAGTTTATTTCCTGATTACTTGGTGGAAAAGGTAAAAAGGTGTCTCAAACATGATGGAATAGAGGTGCTCAAGTGGGAGAAGGAGAGCCATTGCTTTCCTTCATGCTGTCATGCTTTCTGAAGGTCCAAGGTATATTGGCTAGTCGCACTGCAAATCCTGAATTAAGTACTCCATGGAGGAGTACTTGATTTCCTTGCCTGAAAGGAAAAGGGATAGAGAGCCTTCACTGTGAAGTTCAACTTCAAATAAAAACACACATACTTGTTACACAGCAATGTAAATTTGGAAGGAGAGGCTTACAATGATGTCCTTAGTTTGTAAGGAATGATTGAAGGAATGCCAGGGTATAGTTATAGACTATCCTGGATGTGGATTGGGGAACTTAGGTGTGAATCAGTCACTGGGAACTTGTGTTTTATTTGCACTTCAGGTATTCCCTGTTCCAAAATATCACAGTGGTTCCTCTAGGTGAGGACAGTGAAAAGGACTTACAGTTAAAAATGTTCAAAGTGTATTACTTTTTTCTCCATTTATTTCCAGTGTATTTTTTTGTTATCTTCCTATATCCATTCCTTTGTCTGGACTCATAACTATTTTATGAGGATTAGAGAGCAAAACAATCAAAGGGCGTGCCCAGAATTAAACAGATGCACTATCAGACTTGGCAATTCGTGAACTTTTTACATAAATGGTGGAAATATACAACAAACCTAGAATGCAGCCTGCTTCTAGAGACAGACATGGACTGAACAATTTGGGGGAGAAGGAGAATTAATCCAAAGGAGAAGGAAGCATAACATTACTACTACACAGCATTTAACATACGTCCCCCTTTCCTCACAGTGTCTTTTTTTCAAACCACCTCCACTATAGCATTGGGAAAAGTGCAGAAAAGGGCAACTAGAATGATAAAAGGGTTGGAACACTTTCTCTATGAAGAAAGGTTAAAGCGCTTGGGGCTCTTTAGCTTGGAGAAATGACAACTGAGGGGTGACATGATTGAGGTTTACAAGATTATGCATGGGATAGAGCAGGAAGAGAAAAAAGTACTTTTCTCCCTTTCTCACAATACAAGAACTCGTGGGCACTCCATGAAATTGCTGAGCAGTCGGGTTAGAACGGATAAAAAGAAGTACTTCTTCACCCAAAAAGTGATTAACAGATGGACTTCACTGCCACTGGAGGTGGTGGTGCCTACAAGCGTGGACAGCTTCAAGAGGGAATTGGATAAACATATGGGGCAGAGGTCCATCAGTGGCTACTAGCCACAAGGTATAGATAGGAACTTTCAGTCTGGGGCAAGTGATGCTCTGTATTCTTGGTGCTGGAGGGGGGGGCAACAGTGGGAGGACTTCTAGTGTCCTGGCCCCACTGCTGGACCTTCCGATATTCCACCAGGCAGGGACCAGGGCTGAAAAGGCCCTTCGAAGTGGCAGTTTGTGCCCAGAATACATACTTGTCTATATTAGAAGGATGAAATGGGGGTGGGGGTGGGCAGGAATTAAGATACGTCCTTTTGAAGGGGTGGTATTCCCTCCCCCCCCTTTTTAATAGCTGATCAAAGCGAGTCGCGCCGTGTTTCATGACTCACGTCACAGAACATTAAAACTAGCTTGTTTTCTCAATTTGTAGACAACTGGCCCTGAAGGCACTGAATGAGCGGCTAAAGCGTGTGGAAGACCAGTCAGCCTGGCCCAGCATGGAGGAGGAGGAGGAGGAGGATGAAGACAGCAGTAAGGTTGATATTCCATTGCTCCCTGAGAAGAGCCGGGACTCTGTCACTGCAGGAAAAGCAGCTGGTCAGGAATCCAGCCTCATTACCTTTGAGGATGCCCCCGCTCAGTTGTGACCGTGAAACCCCTACCACCTTCTTCTTCCTATCCCTGTGTGTCAGAGCTGCTAATGATCCTTCGTGTGCCCTCCCTCACAGGACTGCCTGCTCTGCAGGGAGCGAAACACTATGCCTGCTGGCCCTGAGAGGGTGGGGCTACCTCCTTCCTGCCTATATTAGCCCCATGTGGCTGACGCCAGGTCTCTGGACTCCTGATGGAAACTGTTCACTGTTGCACAGACTTGAGATTTTGGCTCTTCTCTTCAGGAGGGATTCTGAGATTGAGAATTTCTTGGAAATTTGGAGAGGAGGGAGTCCGCACCTCCCCAGCAAGATAAGGAGGGCCAGTCTGAATAAAGCCCCCCACAAAAGCTACCCACGCCAGTGGCTGCCATTGTGGCTGTTAACACTTGGTGGGTAGCTCTGTTTGGTTGCAGTTTTGGCCAGTCTGCACAGGGCCCGGGACGACCCAGCCTGGCGAATCAGATCCCCTTTTGAGCTCTTCATGCCACACTGCTTATGTGAACCCCACCTGGGCATATTGGAGCAAGCTCAGCAAGTGATACAATTTTTCCTTTTGATTTCTTTTGATCTCGGTGGCAGTGATTGTCGAAAAATAACTCTGCAGTTTCCCTTTCTTCCTTTCAGTTTTGGTATTGATTTAAATGAACAAGCGCTTTTTTAATTAAAGAAATCCTTTGCTGTATTAAATTTATCACTCTGCCCTCTAGATTTGGCAGCAGCGGTGAACCCTGCCAAAAAAAAAAAAAAAAGCTGCTGAATAAGGTTCTTGTAGGACCAGAAGTTAAAAGCCTTTTTGATAACATAACCACTTAGGTCTATCCCTTAACTTTCTGACAGTGAAGATGCATAGGGATACTGAGCAGCTGGCTTCTAGTACCCAAGATGCCACATGGAAAAGCATCATCTCAGGCTTCCTACAGAATGCCTAGAGGGAACTGAATCTATTTTTTAAGGCCTTTGTTTGTCCTTTATTTTTCTTTGCAATGATTCAGATGGTAAAGCAGCTTCTATTTTAGGTTGAACGCCAGTCCATTTCGTGACTTCTGGGATGAACCTTATCCTACAGTAGAAAATATACGTTGTTGATTCTGTTTTACTTTTAAAGGTGCTTTTTTTGTGTGTGGGACTCCTAACAATTCCTCAGATGTCTGCTTTTTCTCCTTGGTTAGATCATTAGCCTTTTTCTTCCTCTGAGCTGACATGCTTTTTTTTTTGGGGGGGGGGAGACAGCAAACCCTAAGATGTCTTGCCTTGACACCCAGCCTGGAAAGAGAGGAGCAGGGCAGGGGGCACTTAGGAGAACGGGACAAGAGTGTGAGACAATGTTATAATGATATTTTTTTAAAGGACCACATGAGAAGGTTTTTGTCAACCAGGAAATAAACACATAATTTCAGTATCAATAAACTGTTCTTTCAAAGAGAGTGTCTTGAATTGGCTTTAGCCTCCCTTTCTTTGACTGTCCAAATAAACACCTAGTTAAAGTTGCAGTCCTAAAAGCACTTTAATTGCTGTTAACAGCTGAGAGTATCAAGTTGCAACTTAAAAGTCTGGGGCTTCATTTATGTTGGGGTCTTGCTCACTATTTTTTTTGGGGGGGGGGAGGGGGCTCATTCAAGTCTTTTTTCCTGCTTGAGAACTGGGACACAAAGCTGAGAAAAGGAGTTTCAAATAAATTTGAGGTAAAGATTAAATTTACTGGGATAGAGGATTAGAATGCTATCAGTTCTCAAAAAAAAATTTAAACCCCTTTCGGGGGGGGGGGGTTCTTATTCCGATCCCACTTTTGTCTAAGGAGTGGATTTTTTTTCTCAGGTCACGTAACCTCATGTTCTCCCCATAGTTACCATCCAGTTGCCCAAAGCTCTGGCTTGCAGCTCCCGGTTTTGTGCCCATGTGGTCCAGGCCTGGCTCTGTGAATGCAGTGAACCCCAGAGGTTCCTCCCTGGCTGAGGTGGACTCTGTCCACCTAATAAACCTAGCAGGATTCGCAGAGTTAGGGAAGTTGGTGGGCAACAGTGTACATGGCCCAAAGAACTCCGCAAGGAAGGAGTTAATAATGCTGCCTGGTGGAAAAAGTAAGAGTTCTAGTGGGCTCCGGAGCCAAGGATATGGAGAGTACAGACTTCTGAGGCTCATGGGAGATATTTCAGAGTCATATGTGCCTAGCTTAGCAGGTCTAGGGGAAAATACCAGCAACCTTACTGGCTCTTTATCCAGTTATGACATGGAACACAGTGTGGGGCTATAGCTCAGTGGCAGAGAAAGTGCTTTGCCTGCTGAAGGTCTCAATTTCTATCCCTAGAATGAATCACTCACTGGGAAAAGGGTGGGGGGTAGAGTTAAGATATCCAGTAGTGCTTTTCGAGCCTCAAGAATTCAGTGAGTATCACTAGTGTGTCCTTTTGGTTTAATTCTAACTTGGTAGCATCCCATCCTTTATGAAATACAAAGGGATCAGCCAAAGCAGGGGGAGTTTTGCTATTTAATATGATGTTAAGAGTAGCAGCAGTATTCCTTTGGATTCAATTATTGTTTCAAATAGCAATTGGTGAAATGAGAGGAAGAACCGATCATCCTTCAGCCGCATGGCAACACTGAAGTAGCCAGCTGCCCCAAAAGCACTAGAGACATCTCCCTGTCCCAGGTGATCAGTTGTATAGGGATAAGAAATAGTTAAGAATCCATCATTCTGCAATACCATCTGTTGGTAATACTGGGTATGACTGGCTGAGTTCTCTGAATTGGTTGAATCAAAACAAATTACTAGAGTGTCTCAATGTGGGCTATATAGGTAGCACTGTTGTACTAAGAATTCATCCCACCCCATCCATAAGACTTGGGACAAGCTACTGTAGCATAAACATTAAAATGGTTAAAATAAGCCACGTTGCAAACATGGTGAAACCTGATGGCAATCCCAGAAATAAAATCTCTTGTATACTTGAGAGGTGTTATGGCAAGATGTTTATAAACGTCATACAGGAGGAGGGGCAGTAGTTAACAGGAATAAAACTACAAGTGTCCTGTCACTGGACTGAGAAGCAGGGAGCAACTGCCTCTGACTTTGTGAGGTCCCTATCAGTGTTCCCTCTAAGCTGAGTTAGTGTGAGCTAGCTCACAGTTTTTTAGCCTCCGGTTCACACATTTTTATCTTAGCTCAGGAAGGATGGCTCCAGAGCAAACTAACTTATGCAGTAGCCAAATCGCTCGCTCACAATTTTAATGCCAGTAGCTCACAGAGTAGAATTTTTGCTCACGAGACTCCACAGCTTAGAGGGAACATTGGTCCCTATCCTTTACTTCCCTGACTGTCCCCTCCCACCATTGGGGAATTTTTATCACTTTCCTTGTTTCATTTGCCAAGAGAAGCAGGAAGTAATTGTTATGATGGGTGTGGTTGTAGTTGACTGATAGAGCATCTGTTTTGCATGGACGAAGTCCCAGCTTGAAGCCCTGGCACTCTACTTAAGAGGGTCAGGTAGTAGATGATGTAAAAAACCCTCTGCCCAGAACCCTGGAGATCTGCTACCAGTAGCCTTGCTCAGTGCAAGTCATCTTTATGGGACAGTTGAACCTATGTCTGCTATTTTTCCCCAAGGTGGATCAGCAAGAGGTAGGAAAAGAGCCCAACAAAGCAGCAATATTATATGCAGATAGCAGCCCTTGCACCTCTGTTTTTCAGCTTGTAATTTCAAAGGTAGGGGACAGCAGACAGGACCCGGTGAGTTCTGACAGGTCACAGAGTAGAAAATGGTGGCTATCAGGACTGGAGGGGGGGGGGGGGAATTGAAACACAGAGTCACTCACCACCCCAAAGTATCTGATTTATTCAACAACATTTCTAATACTAAACCAAAGGCAAAAAAACCCAAACATCTGAGTGAACAGGAAAAATACTTAATGGTTAGCAGCCCTGCCTCAGGAGCTCTTACGTGTAAATGCATCACTTATCTAGCCTAAGCCTGGAATGACAGCTAATCATCTTCTTCATGGCCAATCTGTCAAATCATTTCTTGATAACAAAGTGCCTGATGAAAGCTGTTCTTCAACTAGGGCTCCCTGTAGCCTTCATGTGCAAAGTATGTGTGAGAAGCATTGATGGCATAATTCTTGAATAGTTCAAAGGAGATATGTGTGGACCAGAGATTATTCTGTAAGGCGCTGTTATGCTTTCATTAAGAGTCTGAAACTCTCCTCTAGCTGGGGATGTTGCATTCTCCCATCACTAACATACCTAGTGGATCAGATTAGAATTCAGTGAGCAAGATGGCAACATGCTGGAGTCACAACAACTGTCTGAAAGCTTTATTTCATAGAATGCTCTTGGATACAGACTATCTTGCACTGTTCAGGCTCTGTGATGGGTTCACCTGCCCTGCAGAAAGACCATCAAACAGTTTAATACCAATAGCTATTTTTGTTGTGTGTGGGGCCGGTGTTTCAGGCTTCGAGTACAAGATGTTTCAGCAACTGCAGCACACATGTGTAAGGGCTTTTGAACTCTTAACAGAAATGAGTTGTCAGTTTCAACCAAATCTGTTAACATGTCTAACTAGGGAGGAAGAAAAGTATCCCTACTGACCTATTATGGAGAGAGCACTCCTCCCCATACAGTGAGCCATCCCTATTCACTTGGCAATGAAGGGATGTTGCTCCCAGTTCCTGCACTAAACATAACCAAGTACCTCTTTCTCACACTGGCTAAAACCTTTCTATAATGCTGTATACAACATGTGTGCTGAAGTAAAATGACACAGGTCATCTAAAAGATATATCATTGCAAATTACTGACATTTATACACCATTAGCAAAAAAATGTTCAGCAAAAAACCCCTCTGGCACTGCTGTATTCAGTGAAATACTCTTTTTCCCAGTCTAGTCCATCGGCATTTTTAATATTTAAGGGACTGGTTCCATTCAGAGCACCATCAAAGCCCAAAATCCAGCTAAAGTTAATTGAAACCAAAGACTTAACCACTGCTGAACTCAGTAAAACTTCTAAGTAGCTTGAGAGTAAGCCCATCGAAGCAAGAGTTCTCTGGTAATTCAAAGTGTTCCACTGGTTTCAGTGCAACCTAATCATGATTCATTTTAGTCAATGATCAAGGCTAATGTTTCATCACTTCTCTTTCTTGAAACCATGGTATTTCTTTCTCTCCCAACAAGGGGCTCATTCCTGCACTTTTTTTCACCCACTTCATAATGGAAATTATTCTCCCCCTTCTCTAAGAATGGGGAGAGCAAAATAAGTAAACCCCCCCCCCTTTCAAGTCATCTCCTACTGCACATGTTCTAACACACTTTAAATAAAACGCAAAGTAAAGGACAAGCTGTTGGCTAACCTGGGAACCACAAACGCAGAGAAGGAAGCTATTGGGACTGAGCCCTGCCCTGATGGATCCCTTAACAGACCGGTGGAGAGATAATGTCCACCAGAGTACTCCCCAAACCACAGCTCACCTGGCCTAAAGTACAGAAGCATGCCTTGAGGGCCCCAACATGTGTTGGAATATTCTGATACAGAAAGGTCTTCCATGTGGGAGCTGCTTTGTAGATTAATACAAATGATGATCACACATGTAGGCGGGGCCAGATGGGTCCACATCATTATATTCAGTTCAATGCTAGTTTCTATAGCATATTTGTAACTGCTGAACTTGCTCTCAGCCTGTGGGGAAGCACGTTTTAGTTTTGTTTGTATTCTGATTAAACACACATCCTTTATTTTTCCCATGTTGCGGTCCTTGGCCACTGTACCTCCTCTCTTTTTTTCCAGCCACCTGTAAAGGGAAGCTAATTCTTCTACAACGGGAGTGGAGATTCGAGCACTACGGAAACCTTGAATGGACTGAGCTGATGAACTGTATCGTCTCTCCTTGTCTGCCTGGAAAGGGTACGAACACATGATCCGAGGGCACCAGCTCTCCTTGACCATGAGCAATCTCAGACAGGGGGCAGTGCCACCTTTGATGGCATTCATTCCAGATTAAATATTACAGCTGACTAAACTGCACTCCTGGCGTGAGTCTCTTGCAGAACTGTTAAATACACACCAAGGAAGAAGTCTTAATCTTACACTGTGCCATGCAGTGCAACCTCACCAAAATAGTGTATGCAACAGCCTGGGAGGAGGGAGTCAGAGATAGACAGAGCCTTGGCTACAGTCCAATTTTATGGAAGTTTTCTTGGAAGCAAGTCCCACCAACTCCCATAACTGCACATTAGACCACAAGTTTCCCCTTGCAGCTCCTAATCCCTTAGTCCTAAACATTTCTGCAAATCTCCATACCCACTCTACTGTCCTCAGGCGAAGCAATAACTGATCTGCTCTATAATCTCCTAGTCCTCCCCTGACAGCCACTTTACTGTTGTGTAAACTGAAAGACCTTCTGCTGACTTAAAGTTCAGCACAGTAACTGAATCCCACCACCTTTCTGTTGCCTGTAAACCTTAAGTATAAATGTATCTGCCTAATGAACAGACACTCCGCATATCTGATGAAATGATCTCTGGCTCACAAGAGTTTATCCTGCAATAAATTTTGTTCATCTTTAAAGGTGCCACTGGACTTCTAAGAAGGTATCTGTACCACAATGTGGCCTTCCCTTGGTGTCTGGGACACCCCATGATAACTCCTTCAGACCCTTTAAAAACTGATGTAGGCTAAGGGGCTGACGGCATGTTACATTCAAAGATGCAGTGGAACTTCCAAGGGAGGGGGGAGAGGAGAGGAGAGCTGGAGAGGTCATATTAAGTAGGGAAATGAGGGGTGAGGGAAGCATAAAGCACTACATTCTTCTCCTACCACTTTTTTCTGAGTTCCCACTCCCCTAATAGCTTTTCTTTAAAAGCCCATAATGTGTGGTTAGGCTCTGACTTGCACATATTACATAGTCACTTCCTGTGTAGATAGGATGATAAAAAGGTAAAGGTTCCCTTGCTCGAAAGCCAGTCGAATCCGACTCTAGGGTTGCAGTGCTCATCTCCGTTTCAAAGCCAAAGAGCCAGCGCTGTCCGAAGACGTTTCCGTGGTCATGTGGCCAGCATGACTAAACACCAAGGCGCACGGAATGCTGTTACCTTCCCACCGAAGTGGTACCTATTTTTCTACTTGCAATTTCTTGCTTTCGAACTGCTAGAGATAGGATGATACCCGCTCCATATAGTATGTCAGCTATGTAATTAAAAAAGCTTCATCTTTATTTATTTTTTAATAAAAGTATCTGAAAAGGGAGATGCCAGCCCTTTCCACCACTTTGCTCACACAGAAGGAATGTTACAAGTTTCCACTGGTTTCCCACTAATACAGCCAAAATGCTTTATCAGTAGGAAAGAAACAGGAGCAGAGGCTAAGATGAGTTGCAAGTCTGCATGCTGAATGGGACTCCTTTAGACTCCGCTGGCTGGCTGGGCAGAAATCTGCCTGAGCAGTGGGTACATTGGTCTCCCAGCAGCAACAGATTCCAACTAGGCTAACACTCATCCCTTGTAAGGACACAGCTCCAGAGATATTCACACATAAGGAAATACTGCTTGGATACTGGAGCTGCCAAGGACCTTGGGTTCAACATTAGGGGCGTTTGCAGTATCAGAAACCTAGATTATAAAAGACCATACAAAGCAACAGGCAAGTAAAAAGGAATTATCCCGTTTCAGTGCCTCGAAGGGCCATGGACTCAAAGGCAATGCAAGAAATAGTCAAGGTGTCTCAGGATGTTTGTTCCAGGATGGCTCTCATGGCTGAATTCTTTTGCGATAGAGGTAAGCATTGCTCACCTGGCTCATGATAACCAGGCTGGTGAGGACAGGGCTGAGCATGGACAGATACCAGGAGACTCCTGTCACAGATGTGGTGAACCACAGAGAACACATGCCCAGCATCAGACTGGCACAGCCAAGTAGGTACCCAATCAGCCCCGATGTGGCATGGTAGAGTTTCAGTTTGGCCAGCGTCCAGTTCTTTAACAGCTTTGGGTAGAGCAGAGCCAGCCCCCCCATGCATTGCACACTAGCATACAGTACAGTAAGCAAGCCAGTCAGGCTGTGCCAGGTGGCAAAGTGGGCTTTCCCATTGATGTACTTGTTGTAGCTGATGAAGGCCAAGCCCAGCACTGCGCAGAGGAGGGCGAGCAGCTGCAAAGCCCAGTGGAAGCGGATCTTGGCCTTGCGGGAGAAGGGCCGGAGAAGAGAGCTCTCTGGAGAGAAAGCCAGCAGGGCTTCTGTCATCAGTAAGGAAAACTGGAGAGGGACAGAAAAAGACTCATCACCAAGGCTGGTCCGATTCAGTTTGATGGCAGAAAGGGCTGTCAAGTCACAGCCAACCTGTGGTGACCCCGTAGGGTTTTCAAGGCAACATTCAAGTTGGCCTCTAACAATGATGCCCTCATCCCCAGGGGAAACTGAGTAAGTTCCTCCTGATTGAAAAGGTTTCCCCACTACATTTAATTGGATGCAGTATCCCGGGGGAATTCTTACTGGGTACTTGTCCAGGTTTTGCTTAATCACTCTCTGGATGCTGCACAGATTTTGCACTGAACCACAAGTGAATTGAACGATTCCCAGTATACAAAGCTTTTGGCTGACTTACCGCTAGAGACATTAAGAAAGGATGCCAGGAGAACAGACCTGGAAGAAAAGGAGAACAAAGTGAACCTCCAGGCTGATCAACAGATCAGTTGAGAATAAATACTTCTCATTGTGGGATATATCTACTGAAATTCTAGAAGTCATAAGTTTTACTAGGTGCCGACATTTTTGTCCAATCACTTGCAATTTCCCTTCACAGTAAATTAAACAGAAGGGGGTGGGAACCCTGCAACCTCCCCCACGCCCCAAAAAGACACAAGAAAGTAAAAAAAACTGTGTTCTGGAACTGACTAAAATTCCAGAAAGATAGCTGTGTTAAACTTCAGCAGCGGGGGGGGGGACCCAATTTTGTACCATCTTAAAAACTAGCATCTTTATTGGGGCAATAAGTTTTTGTGGCTCTAGTCTACAAAAGTATATGGCATGGCAATCTATCAGTCTCTATGGTGTCCCAAGACTGATTGTTATTTTGGAATGAGGCATGACACTAAGAGTACAATCCTATACAGTGTTAATCCATGGGTTTAGAAGTGTGTGACTGTTTAGAATTGTACTGTAAGTCTGGAATCCTGTACATATTTACATGGAACCATGCCTATTAAACACAATGGAACTTACTTCTGAGTAAATAAAGGATTGTGCAACAATACTATCCCTTCAAAGAAATATCAATTAAATATCTTCCTTGAGCAATACTGGTGTGTCTAGTGAGAACAATAGGAAATGCACTGTCCTGTGCCAAACTCATTATGTCACCACTGAAAATGGGACCGGTGATCTCATGTTCGCATTAGACTCTTAGTTCACTGAGAGACTCAGTTAACAGAGAGGCTAATCATCTCTTCTCACAAGAGAGCCAGAACTGAAATGTGATAACAGGAGATGCTGCAGTCCAAGGATCAGCTTGCTGTGGCCAAGCTCACATGTCACAGTCAACAACAGAATAACAGAAATGCTACACAAGCTGGCACTAAAGTGTCCTGATCAAACTTATAATGACCCCAATCAAACTGTCATATTGGGATCATTAATAACAGATGGCCCTAAATATGCAAACACAACCCCCCTCTGCATCTAAAGATGCACCCAGCTAATTCAGTAATGTTTGGATGAGTATCGTAATATGGGTGGGAATGGGTATCTCGGTGTGCATCAGGAGTAGATGCAGATCAAAGCAACTGTCTCTATCACTTGTCATCTTAGGAAGTCCAACTTATACAGAGACTAGCTAGCAGAAATATCCAAAATAATTAAAACATTCTTCAGGAACATAGAAGCCCAAACTCATGCAGAGTTAGGTGTGCCTATGCCCACTTAAATCTATTTTAGACAGGCTTGGGCTGTAAATCTCACTGTCTTTCAAATGGCAGCTCACTTCCCAGTTGGCACCAATGCTCCCTCTAAGCTGTGGGGTCTTGTGAGCAAAAATTCTACTTCATGAGCTACTGGCATTAAAGTTGTGAGAGAGCAATTTTGCTGCTGCATAAATTATTTTGCTCTGGAGCCATCCTTCCTGAGCTAAGACAAAAATGTGTGAGCCGGAGGCTAAAAAACTGTGAGCTAGCTCACACTAACTCAGCTTAGAGGGATCACTGGTTGGCACTTACAGTCATCCAGTAAGCTTCCATGGCAGATTGGAGAATCAAACCTGAGTCTCCCAGACCATAGTCCAGCCACAGCACCACACCGGCTTACTTTTATCAACCTCCTGGAGAGTTCACTCAACGTAACTCCCTACTTACTTGATCCAGGTCTCGCAATTACAGCTACAAAGACTGTAAATCCAAGTGAGACGAGGTGTGCGATAGCACCAAAGACAGCCCTGAGCGAGCGGTAGATCTGGGATTCTGTTTCAAGAGTCAGGGCCATGGTGAGACGGGCCTTCAGCACAACCCACACAGAAGGATGACTTTTCACTCTTCACTGGCTTCAGGCCTCCTGATGTGCGGCATGTATCAGCTTCCCGAACACATCAAGGCAAGGGCTAGAACTACAGAGCACTCACAGGGCTAATGGGTCCTTACTAAGGACCCATTAGTTATCTATATAAAATAAGGAGAGAAAAGAATAAGATTAAGGAAAGCAATGGCTCAGTTAAAAACTGTCATGAAATGGTCACTGAAATGTGTTTCACTGGCGAGTCTTCAGGAAATGCAAAAAAGCACTCAAGCAACTGGGACAGGTCACTGCCTGTCCATCCGACAGTGCCTGGATACTCTGCCACAATAAGCCATGAAACCTCTGGTACCTGGACTCTTCCTTCAAATCTACCATGCCGTTCCCCTTTCATTCCTCATTGTAACTGCAATATTTCTAAAGAGAATGGCAACATTTGTCAGTCAAATTAAAGTTTTTTAAAATTATATTCATGTTTCCCCCTCTTTATTTTGCTATTTCGTTTAAACTGAGCCTTCAGAACCGGGATCTGTTTTGTCATCCTTTCTGCCTACAGTGCAATTGCTTATCCAGAACCTTCAGGATAGGATTAAGTACTACAAATCTGAATAAATGTTCTCTCCTTGGGAAACCATTGGCCAAATATGTAGCAGCCAAACACAGAACTTTCTGATTATAGTAAGCACCCTTGTCCCCACTAGTGCCCAGCAAGCCAGCTTGGGTGCAGGACCTTTCAGGATTGCAGCCGCATATTGACAAGAGGAAAGGAACCATTTATGCACAGTGCTCAGCTCATGCTTTACTCATAGGGAATCCTGTTAGATGTGCAGAGGGACCAGGGAGGAGCTGAGTGAGGTTTAAGCCTCATGTCAGCACTGTATAGAACAAAATGAGTGCTATAAGACATGCCCTTATATTTCCAAATAAGTAGCAGAAAGCCACTCCTGCAATTGGAGCAGGATTGATTAATTGCACCAGCGGGGGGGGGGGGGGGGGAAAAAATCGGGGGGGGGGGGGGGGGCATGCACATACTACTGATCAGCAAACAATGAAACCAGTATAAAACACAAGAGTTACAGCCCTGTTATTACTGGCTCCTGAATGCAAATTATTGTACCGATTTTGCATCATTAGGGAGAAAAACGGTTTCTACAGAGGAAGCCCATATAGGGAGCATCATATTCATACTTCACTTTATTATGGCATGCATTGTTGTGGCTGTTCTTAGGATAGCACTGTAAATCACAGTAAAAAGAGGGATTTGCAATCAGTTCTGGAAGCTGTAACAGTCTGCTTTAGTGATATGAGTAGTACAGAACAGCTGTTCGTTACACTGTGAGAAACTTCTGTCATGGGGTGTTATTCTTAAGATAGTTAGATATTCTTGAACAAGCCTGAAAAATCTCAGTAGATGGTTTCATGCTTTTACCAGAAAAAGCACAACAGGCAAAACCTGTCCCCTGATTATTAGTATTACTATTACTCAGTCCTGGAGGAGGATTGGGGGAAATAAGTACAATTTCCTACACAGAATGCCCCACCACAGAGGAATATTAACACACCCTACACATCTGATCACTATATGCAATTCTCACAATTTGCTTTATGTGCACACACTGGCAAGTCATAACCAAGCAACAATTCATAGTGCAGATAAAATATATTTATTTACTTTATTTCTAGCCAGCCTCTCACACTGAGACTCAAAACAGAATATACAGTGTAAAACAATGTAATCAAATAGCATGAGACGACTAATAAACAATGCAATAGGACTACAGTCACAAATATTTGAAACTATGCAAAAAAATAGTATTAGACATGTTATGTCAAACAACACAAGGATGGAATTACAAAATTACAAAACAATGCTGTAAGAGCAAGGTTATGCACAATGACCAGTGGAGTAGACGAAACTCCTCTTCCTTTATAAAAGCAACTTCCCAAATTATTCAATTAAATGCAACAACATACACCCAACTGCAATTATCAAACATGATAACAGAAATGTGAATTGCACGCACAGCACTGCTTTCTATGCAGGATGTGTTTAAAATAAGATGCAACCCTGTGCAGAACTGCAGCCCATCCCGTAGACTGATACTCTTACTTGACTGACACAACATTGGATATATTAAGCTGAGAATATCATGGCCGTGCACAGGATCCAAGGATGCCAAATGGGAAAGAGGAGAACATCTGTATTAATTTTATTTTTAATGCCAAAATCACATTGTCACAGAGACGGAAGGAAGGCATATTCTATTCTGAAAGAGGAATGCCCCTCCAAAGCAGCAGTGTTCAAAGCAGAAAGCTCTAAATGCTAGAACTACACCTATTGTCTTCACCCGTCTTGCAGGAACACTCCTATGCTTCCCTTCTTTGGGAAACGACAAGCAGCAATAGCCCTACTGATGGGCCAGGAGAAAAGAAAGTGTTTCCATCATTCCCAAGCAGCCTTTTTTTTTAAAGCCATACAGTCTTAAGGAGGGCAGGTGGGTGGTTACCTCCAGACACAATTGCAATGTACAGTTTATTATTATTATTATTCAATGCCTGAGCAACATCTCTCTTATGTGAGAGGAGGCCACAGCTCACAGGAAGAACAGCAGCTTTGCATGCAGAAGGTCCCAGTTTGAATCCCCAGCATCTCAAGTTAAGAAGATCAGATAACAGGAAACGTGAAAGGCTTCTACTCAAGACCCTAGAGAGCTGTTGCCAGTTAGAATACACAATACTGACCTTGGCTTCTCTGATTTGGTATAAGGTAGCTTCTTGTGATAGCTTTCTATGCATTAGACAAAGGGAAGAGGAGTGCAATTATACTTCACATTCCACATTTCATTTCTGCTACAGACTCACTTTTAGGAGAAAGAATACAAGGATTGCTACTGGCTGTCAAAAGAGCCGGATACATAATTTTATTATAATGATTCGGAGGGGGAAGAGGCTGAAATCCCCCCGTGTCTTCTGATCCGACAGCGAAAGAAGACACACGTGCAATGCCCACGTCTTCATAGGATAAGGCAATCTCCTTTTCTGCCTGTTGTATAGAGCCTATGGGGATGCCTGGGTTTCCATGCAGGAGGGTCTCCGGATTGGCAAGATACGGCTCAGCGGAGGCAAGAGGAATCCTACGTGTCTAGCGCCCCATTCCGCAGCAGATACAGGCGCGTCTCCCTGCGCTTCTCTCCCCGCCCTCTGGGACTTCTGCCGAGGCTCCCACGCTCTCCGCCTCTCCCTGCTCCAACCGAGCAAAATCCCAAGAAGCGCAGCCCGCTCACCCACCTGCTCCCGCAGCAGCATCCTAAACGAGCAGGAACTCCGAGCCAAGCTAAGAAAACGAATGCCCGCTTCTGATTGGACAGGTCGCGCTGTCCCTCCCTTTCATTCTACCAGCCCCAGCGTCCCTGAGAGGCTGAATCTGACTGTCCATCTCAGGTGAGATCCTGTCAAATCAAGCCATCAACCTCTCCAGACACGTGACAAGCTTGGGGTGTTCTTCTTAACTAGGAACTTATTTTTAATTTCAATTTGCTGTTGTTACTGCCACACGGTATTTCCACATGCAGTTCTGTAGAAGGGCTATATTTCTCTCTTCCCTAGACGATGACATATGCATCCGCCTTAGCACGACCGATCTGCTGATTGCGCGTGCGTGGAATGTCCGGGACCAAGGCGGAAGCCGTGTGCGCATGTGCATTTGTGGAAAATATTGCCGACCGGTGAGTGATCTTTGTCGTCAATGCTGTCTTTTGGCCGCTTGGAGAGGTTGAACGGAAGTAGGTTCTTCCAGGTTGCTGGTTGTGTGCTTGGTTTATAGCTGCACCTGGGCAAGTACTTCAGGCTGATGGAAGTTTTATGACGCTGATTCCAGAGCGGGAGACCTGGTAGTCTGCTGCAACTCAAACAACAGACTGCTGTGGCGCTTAAAAGCTAACTGGGTCTGTGGTGACAGCCGTTTCTGTGGACTAATGCTCTGGGCCCTGTAGTCCACGGCACTGGTTAGTGCCCAAGACACGCTGTGTTTTTGTGAAACTAGTCCGCCTGAGTGCTTACTGTTGAATATTGCAACTCTTCGTGCAAGAGGATCTGGGAGGGAAAGGGTTAAGAGAATTGCCTCACTCAGGTGCATTTGGCCCCGCCCTCTCATCATTTAGATGTTGAGCCTCTTCTGTTTCATCTTATATAGGGCCTCTCTTCTCTCTGGACTTGGAGCTGTAGCAACTTAACCTTTTTGTAGTTAATCCTTTCACAATAAGTTATATGTATCTACATTAATATTTCATGTTAAGATGTGGCTCTAGTTTTGTAAGTAAAAAACTTCCTTTTCTTGTTACCACTGGAGTCAAATCATCTTTGTAACTTGTCTGAACAGCATTATATCATTAATCAGGAAATCTGGAAGATCAGGGATTCTGCATAAAGCTTCTGTGCTTTCAAGGCAAATGGTTTTTAAACAAAAGCATTTAGCCCAGTATTTAATGAGCTATATTCTTGGCAACAGATGTTAGGATGAGCCAGAGTTCCACGAAGTTGCTAAATGCTCTTCATCAGACTGTGAAGTGTAGTGGGTTAGACGCATGTAGAAACCACGGGGACTGATGTAGTGATCAGCATGGTTTACTGGTACACAACAAAAGACAAAGACTAATGGCCGTCTGGCCAACTATAAACACACCTGGGGACACTCCCCAAGGTCCCGTTGGTGGGTTTGAATCTCCCGCCACGGTCCTATTGGTTCCCCAGTGGAGAGACTAGGAGCCTAGTCCCCATTGTTCTTATAGAGTCAAGCTCGGGGGTATTCGCTGGCCCCTGGTGGCGGTCAGTGGACATAACAGACTGTATGCTCCATATAAAAGCATTAACTTCTGGCTTTTATCTTTTCAAAAGCAGAATGACCCTTTTTGTCCTCCTTTGTCCCTTCAGCCTCTGATGCATCTTGAAGTCTATTTTTTTTCAGCACCAAGCAATTAAGACTGGAATCCAATGTGCACTTTCTTGGGAGTAAGCCCCCATTTAGCTTGGAATAAAGATGTCCGCAACATGCCACGTGTTTGCAGCAACTTCTAATCTCGATTTTGAGAAGGCTGCAGACCTTGGGTTTTCTCAGGCACTGAAATACCTTTTTCTCCTTCTGCCCCTCCCCCCTTTGGTACAGAACAGCTAGTCTGAAGCAGAATCTGGAAAACACAAACACTTCTGGTTGTTTTGTGACAGTTCGGTTGATCCTAATGAAAACATATTACCCTGCTGTTGGGGTTGGGGGGTGGTTTCAATATGCCTAACCTAGGCAACATTTGTATTTTAATGGGCAGGAAAGCTAATGTCTTTTAGTTTGTTCATGAAGAAAGACAGGCTAGAATTACTCCAAATCAGTAAGTTAGGTGGAGAGAGTGAGATTGCCAAACTACCCAGAGGAGGGCCTGTTGGCAGCAGAGAAAAGGGGTAAAACCACCACCACCCATAGCCAGCTTGCTGTTTTCCCCAGGGAGGCTACTGTAGGGGTGGTTTTACTCTCTCTTCTCCGATGGTAGCTTGCCCTCCTGGCAGCCACCCCTGTGCTGGAATGAGCGTACAGAGGTTGTAAAGAAGTGAGGGGAGGCTGTTGGAGAGAATGCCTCCTTCCATCTGTGGCCCATGTCCTACACCTAGATTTGTAGCTAACCCATCCTGTCCCTTTGGCAGTGGTTGTTTCAAGGCTGCAAACCACGTGACTCTCACAATCCCTACTAGGCAATGTACTTGCCCACTTGGGACATGTGGCGCATGCTACATCAGGGAATGGTGCCAGAATAGCTACAGGTAGCTCCCAAGCCACTGAGTGATTGTCACTGCTCTAAATACATAATGATGTCTGTACAACAGTAACTGATTCTTTTTGACCAGATCAGAAGACTTTGGCACTTGAAAGATGATGCAGTGCGTGGGATGAAAGCTGCCTTTATTATTGATGTCTGCTGTGGAAATGAGGCTACCCCATCCGGTGCTGAGGAAATCAGTCCCTTCAACAGGAATGTTGAAAGTACAGGGCAGTGGCTTCTGTTCAAACTCATTGTAACCTCCTTTGGACTGAGAAAAAAACAATTGTAAGCAGGTCTACTCAGAATCCTTCTCATAGTCAGGGGTGTAAACTACGAGAGGGCTCCGGATCTCAACTGAGAAGTCTACTCCCCTGCCCAGGGCTATTTCAGGGCACTTCCTCCCAGGAAAGTGCACTATTACAGTGCAATTCTAAGCACAGTTACACTGTTCTATAATCACTAAAGTTGTACTCAGTGTTTTCTGATGGAGGCTAAGTAGCCAAAAAAGTTAACAAAAAGATAAATATTAAGTATGCCATTAGACTGCTTATGCCTGTGAATCCCCTCCACGAGCTGGGATGATCAAGTAACAATGTCCTACAACAGGTCGTGCCACTGAAGAAAGCAAACTTGCCACCTGGAATAGCCAGTAGTAGCACCTATTCCATGGAATTTCCTGCTGATTTATTGAGGCAGTTCTTTAAATTTGCTCTTATCTTTGTTGTATTGCCTCCTTTTTCCAGAAACACACGTTCTTGTTTTATTGTATGATGCTGATTTGTTGTTTTTCTTATTTTA